AATATATCGCGAACATGTGCTTTGATTGCCATCAGAGATACAAGCCGTAACGGCTCAAATAGATAATATTTTCAAAGCCGCTCCGCCGCCAACTTCTTTCGGCTCAAAAGCGTAAGCCGGCTTAAACGTAGCCGCTGATAATGGTTGTAATCGTACAAGTATTTCAGAAAATAATTTAACCAATTTAAACGGAGTTGCCACTAATTTAAATTTGTATGGCAGATTGAAAAGAGTTGCCACACCACATTGTGTTAATATTAAAATAATAAAAAGTTGTTATAAATTAAATTTTTCATAGCAATAACTGCATTAAGGGCAATTTTCTAAAGAAAAAACTTATATAGAGTAATTCTGTTTATTTTCTTTCTGGCAACTTTTAAAAATATAGAAAATTCTTATCCATAAACTAATATTTTGTAATCTATAAATAATAAGCCAGCTTTTATTATTGTTATTATTTAATTTATTTGTTTATGTGGGAACTGAAAAAAAAAAAATCGCTCAAAAATACTTAAATTTCTTTCATAGAAAACTATTTTTGTGATAAACAAAAAAACCTGACCTAGACTAAATTGAAATTTATTAAGCTGTGGTAGAGAAAAAATTCCCTTTAAAGCCGGCAATTTAATAAACATATCTAAACAATACTTATTTACACATAAAAGTACATCTAATTGAAATTTTGTACTTAATAAAAAAGTTCAAAGTTCAATTTAATAAAAAACTTTTACAAAATTAATAATTGTCTTTATAACAAAACTCAGTTCAAAGTTCTTTATTATATAAATAATAATAAAATAATTTATTAATTTTAAACAGAAAAAATTCTAAGAATTTCTTTTTGTTTTAATTTCAAAACCGGTTTTTGCTTTGGGTTTTTATGAAACAAAAATTTAAATAAATTTTGCTTTAATTATGTTTATAGCAACAAAAGGTAAACAGAAACACATTTTTTTGAATTGATAAACACCAGCTGTCAAATTATATTTATTTTGGCTACTATTTACCTTTAATCGTTTGAAAAATCTCGAAACATCATTAATAATTTAGTTTTTGTTTTAAATTATTATGAATTTATTCTGAAGAAATGTTTAAAAACACGTTTTTATCATAAATTTTTTAAGGCGCAAGTGTTAACACACGTTGTGGGGGTAATAACTAAATAACGGTAAAGTATGTTAATCTGGCAACTTTATATAGTTAGTGTAAAGGAATAGTAGTAAACACAGAAACAAAACAGTGATGCCAAGTAAAGGTGGATAAGAAAACTGTCAAATTTTATAAAAGTGCTAATTTATACTTAAAATAACCAAAATAATAAAATATAAAGGGTATTAGCTCTAAGAAGTTGAATGAAAATAGTTTTTTAATAAAAAAAAAACCTTGAAAAACATAAAATATTTCAAATTTGGGTCAGTCGATAAAATGTTAAAAGTTATCTTTACAAATTTAAATTTTATTTTCTTTATCTGCATTAAACAATTATTTGACCCACTTTTGATATGAAAACCACATGAATTTTGGCACGTTTCTTAAAGGTTTTTGTTTATATCAAGCAAAATATTTTCATTTATATTTATTAAAAATTTTTCTCGTACACTTTAATGGCAGACACCTTTAAGAAATTATTTTCTTAAAATAAATTTCTTTTGTTTTTTGTTACTCTTTTTTTCAAAAAAAAATACAAATTTGTTTTTTAGAAATTTATTCCCATGTGTGCGCGTGTGTGTTTTTGAAATATTTTTTTATGTTTTTCTTTTAGCTTCCTACATTTATTTTTTTTTTTAGAAAATTTGTTATGCTTTTTCCGCTTTTTCTAGTTTTTTTTTATAAATTTATTGTTTTCTTTATATTTGTTATTTGTATCACATGTTTTGTTTATATATTTTTTTCTATTTTAAAGGAAAATTTATTTAAGAAAAGTAAAAATTTATACCAAATCATGTGACTAAACAGTAAAGAGCATAAAATATCAAATTATAGAAAAAAACGAAGTTTTTTAGTCAATTTATAAAAAAAACTTTATGAATTTCTACAAAACCTGTAAGTTGTTTTGGAAAACTTTAATACCGGTTTAGTGTTAGCTTAAATCCTTCATTTAGCAACACTTTATCCTAATTATACTTAAGTCTTGCAAAAAATTGTGTTTGACATCACTGTTTAACATCATAGGGGGTTTTACAGTGCTGCCATATAGAAGTTTTCAATTTACAGCAATAAAGTTAAAAATTTTTAAATTTACAAAATACAATTAAATTTAGTTCTATGTGCAGAGTTACCAGTTGTTTGAAATAAAAAAGGAGTTTTTAGGGGAAAATCGCAAAATTTCGGTATAAAAACATGTAATAAAGTAACAAATGTTTAGGGTTTTGAAAACAGAATTAAGAAAATTTGTAAATTTACAAATCCAGTCATTATGTACAGAGTTACCAGATGTTTAAAATAATAAAAAAGTTTTTAGGGGAAAAATCGAAAAATTTTTAACAATTGGAAAGAAAATTATTAGGGTTCCATGAAAAAATAAAGAAAAACGTTTTAATAGAGGACATCATAAGTAGAGTTACCAGATTATTTTTAGATTAGTTTATTTTTTGGAGAGAAATAAAGGAATATAACAGAAAGGTGACGAAAATTAGTATAATTTTAAAAACCAAAAGATTTTAAATGAATAAGAATCAGAGCTTACCTAAGCAGAAACATTTTGAACAGATTTTTACTAAATTTGATTTTTACTAAAATACTTTATAAATCAGAATTAGAAACAGTTATCCTGAGTAGCGTTGCCAGATTATTGTAAAACAAAATTTTTTAATGTTTGTTGAAAAATAGTAAAAATCGAATAGGTATTAAGTTATAAAAAAAATAATAAATAAAAATTACAAATTTGATTTAAGTAAAAGTGAGAGTTGCCAGATTATTGAATTAAAAATTTGAGATATTTTATGGGAAACACGACAAAAATTATTTTATAACTGCTATATATGATAAGAATTTAAAAAAATTATAAATTGCAGTGACGCCACTAACAGAGTTGCCAGATTATTGTAAAACTAATTTTTGAATTCATGTAAAAAATAGAAAAAATGGAAAATCAAATAAAAACAAGTAAGAAATTATAGTCGGGCGAGGCCGACCATATAATACCCTACACCTTTGACAAAAATATAATGTGATTTAGTTGCCATAATAAAGCATTTAAGTTGAATTGTACCTTGCCTTAGATATACATACTTAAGCCGTTTATTGTTGAATAAAATTGTGGACATTTAAGTGAAATTTTGATGGGAGCTTTTCATAGGGGCTAGGGTCATATGAGAACCTATTATTATGGAATTCGTGCGGGTCATCAAGTCTTGGTTTTTGCAGCTTTTTGTCGAGATATGAGTATATTAAACATAATTATGAACTTAAAAGCCCTATTCGGGGGTTCAGTTGTATGGGGGCTAGGTGAAATTATGGACCGATGTTAACCATTTTCAATAGGCTTCGTCTACGATACCATAAAAGATCATGTGCCAAATTTCATTGAATTATCTTCAAAATTGCGACCTGTAGTTTGATTACAAGGTTTACATGGACGGACGGACATAGCTAAATCGACGCAGAAAATGATTCTAAGCCGATTGGTATACTTTAAGGTGGGTATAGGACCAATATTATTGTGCGTTACAAACATCAGCACAAACCCAATATACCCTCCCCACTAAAGTGGTGTAGGGTATAACAAAGACATAAATATCAAAAAACTGTGATTTATATATAAGATAGCATGAGAGTTGCCAGATTATTGAAATATTTTTTTTGTATTTTTGTAGAAAAATAAAATTGCCTTAAAACCGCTAAAAACATTAAAATTTAAACAAATTAAATTTATGTGGCATCATCCATAGGATTGCCAGATTGTTGTAACACACATTGTAGTTTCATTTAACCTAAAATAAAAAATAACGCCTGCAAAGTGACATACATAAATAAATATGTAATTTTTATTTATGTGAAAAGGTTTTGTAAACAGAGAGTTGCCACACTATTGCAATATAAACATTTTGTAGAAAAATGAAACAAAATTGCCTAAAAACGGATTTCTTGTAAAAAAGTAGAAAATAGTGTTTACAAACTGATTATAATTAAATATAAAATTAACGCAATTGCAGTCAACAATATCAAGAACATGGTTGCCAGATAAATAAAGTAAAAAAGTTTGATTTCTTATAGTAAATTAGAAAAAGTTGCTTAAATAATGTATTAAACAAATATAAATTAAAAAATATTGTAATTAAGATTATCAGGAATGGAGTTGCCACATTAACGAAATAACTTTTTTGGAATTTCCTGTGTAAATATGTGAAAATATTGTTCAAAAAGTGGTTATAATACATATATGTTGAAAGCGATTGAAGATTGATATATCATGAACAGAGTTGCCAGATTATTGAAATATTTTTTCCTAATTTTTGTAGGAAAATAAAAAAGGACCTAAAAACTGTTATGTTTACTTATTGGAAGTAAAGTGCGTTCACAAATTGAGTTGCCATATTTTTGAAATAAATTTATTTGATTTTGAGTGAGAATATGTCAGAGTAGCCAGATATTTTAAACTTCAACGCAAATGATAAAAATAATAAAAATTGAAAACTTTAATTAACAAAAAAATATTAAAAACTTGTATAATAGAAAATAAATTAGAAATAAAAACTTTCTTTCAAATTTTTTAATAAAACTGCAACTGTCATTTTGTCACTTGACACATGACAACTGCTCTAATATAATAGCTTTCATTAACTTAAAACCGGCACATAATATTTATAAACAAATTATTTTAATGGCATTAATTTTATTATTTTGTCAGTCATGTGTTTAGAAAATTAAAAATAAATTTTATTTTTATTTCAAAAATCCATTAAGCACGTTTTTATTTAGATTTTAATTTCAAAATACTTTTCAAATTTTTAAAAGGCAAAAATATAAATTTGTTAAATATAAATTTCGATGAAACTTACGTAATATATTTTTATTTAAAATCATCAAAATTCATTAAGGGTGTTTAGAATAATTTGTTTCTTTTCTTTAATAAAACGAATTAGAAATATTTAGCAGCAGACACTTTATAATTTATAACATTTTTCTATAATTTTGTTTTTTTTTCTTATTTTTTGCTTAATTAATACCAGTTCTACGTAATTAACAAAAAAACAAACCTTAAACTTGAAATTTTGAAAAAAATTTATTTGTTTGTTTCTTTAAATTAAACCGGTTTCAAACTAACCATGATAAAAATTAATGAATATTTAATTTGTAATAAATTTTTTTAAACACAATTCTTTTCCTTTTTTACACAATTTACTTTTTCTTCAAAAAAAAAATTTCTTTTAATAATTTTAATTTAAATTTTTTATAAATTTCTTATTTTTGTAACTTTTATTACTTTGTGTAATAGTGTTGTAATAATTTATTTCTTTCTTTTACTCGTTATTTGTTTATTTTATCAATCAATGTTTTACTTTTCATTTTCTTCAATTTTCTTTTAATTTTTTTGTCTGTATCCATTAATTTTCAAAAGAAAATAGAACAATTTGTAATCATTTTCTTCTATGAAGTATATTTAAATCCCGTTTCGTTACACGTCTTTTCCATGCGGTTGCTTAAAATTGACTGAAATATTTACTTAACAAAAAATGCGTTTTATGATATCAAAACAGACAGACGACGTTAACGTCAAAAAAAAAAAAAAGAAAAAGAAACACACAAAACGAAAGCAAAAGAAAAATAAATAATAAAAAACCGGAGTAGCAGCAGCCAAACGCAGTAGCTAACTTAGCAGCAGCATTAGCTGCTCCCCCTTTTAAGCACCAAGAAGAAAAATAACAAAACAAACTAAGAAAATGTACATATGAATAATGTAAACAAAACAGAAGCCCCCCACTAATAGATAAAGCAAAATAAAAATGTTAAATGCTAGAGTAATGCAATGCAAATGGTAAATACAACAACAGAGTATAGCTCTCTGTTATGATAATACATAACAGAGAAAAATAGTGCTCCATTTATGGTTAACAATTTAGCGATTTTTTTGTAAGCGCTTTTACTTTAATCTATGTATCTATCTATCTATGTATTTATGTATCTATCTATGTATCTATCTATCTATCTATCTATCTATCTATCTATCTATCTATCTATCTATCTATCTATATATCTATCTATCTATCTATCTATCTATCTATCTATCTATCTATCTATCTATCTATCTATCTATCTATCTATCTATCTATCTATCTATCTATCTATCTATCTATCTATCTATCTATCTATCTATCTATTTATCAATCAATCAATCAATCAATCAATCAATCAATCAATCAATCTATCTATCTATCTATCTATCTATCTATCTATCTATCTATCTATCATCTATCTATCTATCTATCTATCTATCTATCTATCTATCTATCTATCTATCTATCTATCTATCTATCTATCTATCTATCTATCTATCTATCTATCTATCTATCTATCTATCTATCTATCTATCTATCTATCTATCTATCTATCTATCTATCTATCTATCTATCTATCTATCTATCTATCTATCTATCTATCTATCTATCTATCTATCTATCTATCTATCTATCTATCTATCTATCTATCTATCTATCTATCTATCTATCTATCTATCTATCTATCTATCTATCTATCTATCTATCTATCTATCTATCTATCTATCTATCTATCTATCTATCTATCTATCTATCTATCTATCTATCTATCTATCTATCTATCTATCTATCTATCTATCTATCTATCTATCTATCTATCTATCTATCTATCTATCTATCTATCTATCTATCTATCTATCTATCTATCTATCTATCTATCTATCTATCTATCTATCTATCTATCTATCTATCTATCTATCTATCTATCTATCTATCTATCTATCTATCTATCTATCTATCTATCTATCTATCTATCTATCTATCTATCTATCTATCTATCTATCTATCTATCTATCTATCTATCTATCTATCTATCTATCTATCTATCTATCTATCTATCTATCTATCTATCTATCTATCTATCTATCTATCTATCTATCTATCTATCTATCTATCTTATCTATCTATCTATCTATCTATCTATCTATCTATCTATCTATCTATCTATCTATCTATCTATCTATCTATCTATCTATCTATCTATCTATCTATCTATCTATCTATCTATCTATCTATCTATCTATCTATCTATCTATCTATCTATCTATCTATCTATCTATCTATCTATCTATCTATCTTCTATCTATCTATCTATCTATCTATCTATCTATCTATCTATCTATCTATCTATCTATCTATCTATCTATCTATCTATCTACTCATCATACTAACCACTGCATTATGTTAAAACTGTTGGCGTCACTGGCTAAACAAAATATGTTTTCCCCAATGTTCGAACGTAAACAATGTTAAAAGACTTAACAGTTTCATGAGTTCATGTTATTTTTTTAACATTAAAAACAAAGTAAAACATACAACAACAAACAGTACAAATGAGTGTTTGGAAAAAATGTAAATAATGTGTCAAAAGGTTTGAGTAATTCTCTCTGTTAAGATAACAGCAAAGCAAGAAAATAAACAATCGAATAAAAACAGAGCAAAACATTGTTTGCAGGGGTCCAAAGAGTAACAGCTTAATTACAATTAAGACCACAACCACAGACGACAATAACGTAGGAAAAAGCAAAGAAATTGCGATAAAATACCATAACAAGATTTCTTATGTTGAGTTTTATAAACTTTTGGTTGAAAAATTGTCCATTCAGATTTATAATTACAACATTGAAAACTTTGAAAGTATACACGTTGCACAATGGGAGAAAAGTGGTGGTTCGAAATAAGCGCTAAAATATTGAAACTTTAAACTTTTAATTTCTATAAAATTAAAGTGAAATCTGTTAAAACTATATGTGAGCATATTTTTGCATTAAATCTAAACAATTCTTTTTGGAAAATATTACATACATATTTCAAATATTATTTTAATAAAAAAATTTGACATCATATTTTAATGAATAAGAAATGATAAATTCCGATTTTGTGTCTAAAAAGTTATTATAAATGTGAAATAATTTTTAATAAATTTCATAATAATTTCAAAATTAAATCACAAGACATTTTCTTGTGGCTTATTTTTCAAGAAGCAAAAAATTTTCTTTAATTCATAGGAATTGGCTTAAAAATTTTCCCATAATTTGTTTGAAAATGTGTCATATTTGTTTTAGACTTTAGCGTTTTGTTTATTAAAATTATAACAAATTGATTTTATAATTGTCTCACATTCTTTTTGTTTATAAATTAAAAAACAATATATCAAATTTCTTTGATTTGGTGATAATTTTAAAATTTAAATTGAAACGTAATAATGTTTTAATAACGCAATTTAAATAATCAATTTACTAAAATAACAAAAAAAATCAATAAAATTTTTATCACATTTAAATAAAGGCATTTGAAAAACAAAATTTATTTCGCTTACAATCTTTAGTAAGGTCTTATCTGTGAAATTTTTAAACAAATACATAAGAATTATTTAAGACCGTCTAATGACCAAATTTAAATCAGATAGAATAATTTAATGTTTATATCAGAGCAACTAAATTTTCTCTCATAGTGCAACTATATTACTCTTAAAGTTTTTATGTTATTAACAGTCATCATTAACAGCTTGATTACATTTGAGACTGGATTTCTTTAGCCGACTGTTACATTTCATTTTTTATAGTGTTTTACCCCACAGTGCAATGGTTTTGCTGTCAATATGTATACAACATGCTTGTGGTTTTGCTATTTTCTTTAACTTATAATTAATTTCCTTATTTACATGTTTGTTTATATTTATAAAACTTTTTTTTAACAATTACATTTCTTTATTTATTTTATTTACTTTAAAATTGTGCAACTTAGTTAAACAAAACAACTGCTTGTGAGTGCTTAGAAAGGTAAACAACATGATTATAATTAGAACCACAAAACCACTATTAGTAAAAGCAAAAGGGATTTTCTGTTATTTTTATTGTTTTTTCTATGGCAATTCATTTCTTTGTTTCATATTTTTTACATTTAAAAGATTAATATTATATTTTTAGTTAACTGTAAAGTGTTTTGTCGAACAATTAAGTCGCTTGTATTTTGAGGTCTCGATTGTAATTAAGCTTTCAAAAACATACAATAACTGTAAAATTGTCAATAGTTGTTGGAGAGAACAGGCTTGGAAATGAAGTATTATTGCACATTTGTTTAGTATATTTTGACATTAGACTAGTCCAATGACTGGTCTATAGATTAGTCAATCGACTAGTAACAGACAAGTTGATAAACTAGACAATAGATTAATACAAAGACTAGTCAATATACATATTACTTCATAGACTAGTGAATAGACTAGTCTAGTCTATTCACTAGCCCATTGACTAGTCTATAGACTACATAAGTTCATAAACTAGTAATGGACTAGTAACTATAAAACAACATAAACGAGTCAATAGACAAGATAATTGACTAGTCCATAGACTAGTTAGTAGACTACTTAATAGACTTGTCCATAGCCTAGTCATTAGTTCATAGGCTAGTCAATAGTCCAGACGATGACCAGCCAACATAGTCTAGTAAACTAGTCAATAGACCACTATATATAGATTAGCCAATAGACTAGTTAATAGATTAGTACACAGAACAGTTATAGAATAGATAATAGACTAATTCAAAGAGTGGTCAGTATAGATTAGGCAATATACTAGTTAATAGACTAGTCCATAGATTGGTATATATGCTAGTTCGTAGGGTATCCATTAGACTAATTAGTGGACTAGTCCAGAGACTATGTAGATGCGTACATGCACTAGTTATTAGAGGAGTTCATATAATAATGAATATTAGACTGGTCGAAAGACTAGCTCAAAGATAGCCAATAGAATAGCTTATAGTCTAGTCAATAGACTATTTAGTAGACTAGTCAATATAATAGTCAACTGAGAAGACTCTAGACAGGTCAAAAGTCTAGTAGACTAATCAATAGACTAGTCAGTAGACCAGTCAGTAGACTAGCCAGTAGACTAGGTAGTAGACTGGTCAGTTGATTAGTCAGTAGACTAGTCAGTAGACTAGTCAATAGGCTAGTCAGTAGACTAGTTAATAGACTAGTCAATAGACAAGATAATTGACTAGTCCATAGACTAGTTAGTAGACTACTTAATAGACTTGTCCATAGCCTAGTCATTAGTTCATAGGCTAGTCTATAGACCAGACGATGACCAGCCAACAGACTAGTCCATAGTCTAGTAAACTAGTCAATATACCACTATATATAGGTTAGCCAATAGACTAGTTAATAGATTAGTACACAGAACAGTTATAGAATAGATAATAGACTAATTCAAAGAGTGGTCAGTATAGATTAGGCAATATACTAGTTAATAGACTAGTCCATAGATTGCTATATATGCTAGTTCGTAGGGTATCCATTAGACTAATTAGTGGACTAGTCCAGAGACTATGTAGATGCGTACATACACTAGTTATTAGAGGAGTTCATACAATAATGAATATTAGACTGGTCGATAGACTATCTCAAAGATAGCCAATAGAATAGCTCATAGTCTA